CCACTCTACAGTCCGGGAGGAAATAAGTTTCCAGTTTCGAATCTCGAATGAGATCTGAAATTCGTGCCATTTAGACGTTTCTGTGAGTTCATATGTTGTTCATATGTTGGTGATTTTCCCCCGCTGTGGCTGAAAAGCAGCCTAAACACACCATGTCACCTGACATAATCACCCCCAAAGTGTCCGGCCTTATTCTTATTATAGATATATAGATCACAATAAGTTACAGCTGATTGAGCGTCTCGTATTGAGACTGCATCATATTACATCTGTCTTGCCTCAGCTGCGAGTATTCGTAGCGGTCTACAACTTGACCAACTAAGGACTTCGATGAACTATCTTTATGCTGCAATGTTTCAGTCAGATTTATATACTTCAACCCATGCAGAGATATATAAATAATGTTCTCTCTCGCTGTGAGTCTTTCATTTAATATCCATATCTCACAGTGTACCATATATCTTTCTATTAAGTCAATATGAAGTTCACCGTCTCCCTGCTTCTAGCTGCCAGTGCAGCTCTCGCCGTCCCCATCGTCGAGCGAGACAGTTCTATCCAAATTAGTGACTTCTGGGCCAGAGCTAGCGTTGTCTCCGCTACGATGCATTTCGTTGTGACTGATCCAAATTACCCCGAGGACACTCCTACCGACTGCAACCTGATGTGGTAAGTCCAATCTGTTAAGCAAGGTCTCTTTGACAATGGCAGACGTTAATTCACACCGTTTGATGTTAGGACATATGGATCTTCGCCCGAAAAAAGAGCCCGATGTAACAACAGTCAATACTTTATCCACTTCCCCGGCGGTGCCGTAAACTTCAACCAGTTTACACTGGGACTGGAGAGGGTCTCGGGCCCGATTGCTGAGAATGGTTGGGTTTCGCTGAACTCGGGTATGGAGTGGTCTTGTATGGACAATCCAGAGAGCGGCGTTCAGCTGAGTTGCTCTTATGATGGTATTCTTAGCATGCTCGTGTGAGGATGTGAGGTGTCGACTAGCAGTCAAGTTTGTGTGATGCAAATGGAGGCTTCGTCTATATTGGTAGATATTCTCAGTGTACATTCATGAGTAGCTTCATTCTCTGTATCTTTCATATAGGTCTAGGTAATTGAATTGCGGTCCAATATGTTCTGTGTCCTAAAGATCCGGTATCAGACGACTCTCACCAAATAGGAAGGAGAACTAAGCTCGAGTCTCGTCTGTGTTTCCCATCAATATGGCATGAAGTTGGATAATTCCAGTACACACACTACAGGAATGGGAGTATATAGGACATTGAGAACCACTCCCGGTATCATTATAATACAATGTCACATTTATAAAAGCTCTACTCCCTCGAGATCGAACTCATTTTGATCTCAACATCATCACACTACCTACGAACATACCTCTCCCTCACTGGATCACCTTCATGCGAATGAACAACCCAATTCCCAATTCCGACAGCACCACCCGTATCTCCCTTTCGCCCCGAGGAACCAAATATCAAATTATCAGGACGGTAAGACGGGTCTGACTTCATACGCTGGATAGCAGAAACATGAATTCGGGCATTCACAGGGATATCACGGGTCCGACCACGCGGCGGCGGCCACCGCACAGCCTTCCACGCTCCATTCGGCTGTGATTCCAACCGTCGCAGGGGAAGATACTCCATCAAACGCCAGGAGAGAACGGAAGTCAGCGGTAGACCGTTACCATACGCAAGGAGATCATGAATATGTCCTTTTGTGCCGGCTAGATGAAGCGCCTCTAAATACTCCCTATGGGCTTTCGGTAATTCCGAGCTCCAGAAATCCCTCTTTGAGTTCGAGGCAGCTTGCAAATCAAAACCAGGATCAAATTCCTCGATGCACTCGTGCTGTTTCAGCTTTCTTGGATCCAGTCGCAGCCCCGCGCGTCGCGCTTCTTGTACCATCCACACGAGAGGTGCGTGCGTTAATGGCCATGCCTCACTACATCCGAGATTCCACCCTCCGCCAATGTCTGCGTGTCCGCCGGGAAACCACATTTCTTCGATGTCCTGCATTTCATCATCGTCCAATTCTGTCTCCCGTTTCTTACTTGGTGTGCTGATGTTTGGGATTTCTGGAAGAACGGGAGGTCCAGAAGTGTGTTCGGAGCCATTGGTCGAGGTTCCCTTCGCGGGCTTCTTTTCATCTGAGGAGATTTCACGAACCCATTCATCTTTATGCGACCGCAGCAAAACCGGCCGGAACTTGATACGACGTTCATCAATGCTAACCGCATGTCGAACTACTTTGGCCGAAGTGCTCCCGTCAACATTAACCTCAAAGTCTGCGATGCTATTGACCGCATCGAACATTCCCAAAAATTGCACACGAGCCATAGGCCGTGATAGTATCTCCCGACTGTCTTTCATGACTTGAAATGCCTTTCGCTTCGCTTCTCTGTCATTATCCGTTCGGCCAAGCTTCCACGACACAAACGCATCCCAGATAAATGGGACCACTTCTTCGTTATCAGGTCCAAGAAGTCCGACATAATCGAGCATTTCATTCAAGAACCGTGCCGTGTATGCGCCACGCGAGAAGCCGAAAATGTACACCTTGACACCGGTTTGATAGTGACGCATGAGAAAGCGGTACCCGCCCAGAACGTGCCGATCGAAGGACCGACCCAGTGCGAGATTGAGCACTTTATTATTGTCCAGTTTGCCTTTCTTTTGGATTGTCGTGCTAGCCAGGGATCCCGGGGTTATATCAGTGCCGATTCCCGCTGTTTGGGGTTAGTATCCTTGTGGTTATCTAGTGGATACGCTCATACGTTGGTAGTAACATACTGGCTTGCAGTTAGAAGACTTGTTTTGGTCTTTATAGATGAGTTAAATCTTACATTGCTCGTCAGACTTTGCTAACATGCGACAGATTCTCAAGACGTTGGTGTCCGTGCCGTCTGTGCGAAATGTATTTCCTGTGCCATCGAAGCATAGGACAATTTGTCGGTCTGACATTATGCGGTGTTCTTCCAAAGCCCGGAAGGGTTCCCTTAGCATGGCTGGGGGAACCATTTATATGTGCTCGAGGCATTTTTTAGCATTTTACCTGCCTTGTATTTCCCCACTCATCGACATAGTACGGCGACGATCGTGGCGATCTTCGTCAATTGAGGAACCATCGAGTTGGCAGAAATGCCAAGCGAGAGTCGGTGGGCACTAGTTCGCCGAATTGGGTGCCGTGCAGGTGATCTACATGGCCATTACCTGTCGAGCTTTGAGCTTCAATTGGTGGAGACTTGGCGTGTGATCAGCCTCACTTACCTATAACTATACTATTCCCGTATAAGGAGTAGTATACCCCGAGAAGCAGCTACGCTTTTCCTTTGTTGGACAGAAGGATGGTAGTGCATTAAATAAAGGTATACCAAAGGAGCCAAGGCCGAGTTCTTAAGATCCCAAGGCGGGCTTTCTACTTTCAATTGAAACCTGTTCACAATATAGTGTTAATGGTGGTACACTCGTCTGCACGTCCATCTTTCACTGTCGACGACAAATAGGGCAAAATAGATCATATGACTATACGTTTTGGGCAGGTACGTAGACTGGGACACATCTACTCTCTTGAGATTCTCAAAACTTCCCTTCTCCCAAAAACAACTTCGCTTCCTGTCGATCTTGCGCGTCAGATTTTGTCTTCTACCCATCCTTACGTCGGCCAAGGCAACGACATCAGCGAAGACTGGCCCGATATGGAGCTCCTCATCGTGGTCCTTATGAATGGCTGCCCCAAATGATCGTGTAGGCCTTGCAAGCGAAGATAAATGACTCATCCCAGATTTGCACATCTTTTATTATCCTCACTACCCTGAAAACCCATCCTCGATGAGATGAGGATCGAAGAGCTCTGCCATAGGGCAGAGATAGCCTTCCATCTCTGACCGAGGAAACACAAGCTCTGTGGCCTGGGATAGCCACCAGTGCTGCTGATTATGATACGACCGGAGGATTCAAATACATAAACACCGAACTTGGTGCAACAAGGAGGATCAATGGCCGACTATTAACGGAAAACGAGGCCCTGCGGATAGCCAACTTCGCGTTGGCAGTTGCGCTGTTTCGTGCCTTCTCTTGTTAAGCTATATTAGAGTGATACTCTACGCATCTTACATCTAACAAGTATTGATAAGTCGGCAAGTCTCGGTCAAAAGACGATTGATCAATTGATGTGACCTCGGAGATGTCGGAAATTATGAAGAAGATGGCCATGGGGTTGAGTCAAAGTGTTACTGGACTAAGCATATTTACCGACACTGTTGGGTTCCTTTCCGTATGCCTCGTCTCTTTTGCCTTCCTCGGTAGTTGTACAAGTATCTGTATATCAATGGCAAGCTTCAGGAAGCAATCACGGAAGGATCGTAAGTTACGATGCCGGGGGCTTCAGGTAACGGAAGCTTCTTGTGAGCGCGATCTCTATAATTAGCACACTAATTTTTACTACAAAAATATAGCCATATACTAGCCCATATCTACGTTGTTTTATCGGAGAACCATGCCCAGGTCTGAAAGGCATAGTATCCAGTGGCTATTTCTTGGACTCTCGAGTTTCTTTAGCTACCGGGATATGACTGTTTCTTCTAAACTACCCATCTATAGGATGGTAATATAGGCCAGACACCAGGTGGATCAGGGTTTCATCCAAATTACAGGTATCTCCAGGCCCGCATATGTATTTGAAAGGGGTTTAAATTGTTATGATTGAAATATTGGTATCGCTAGGAATCAGTAGATGTAATGAAAATGAGAAACCAAAATGCGAACCATCCAGCGACCAGAGATGTGTCGTCTGCCCGGCAGACGATGCCAACACAGCGCCATAGCAAAACGCCTCGCCAATCACTCTCCTTTGAAAACATGGAATCACCTTGTCCTCAGATGTGAGAATGAATGCAATACCGGGTAAGAACAAGAAAAAAGAAAAGTTGATATATGTACAAGATCCAAGGAGAAAGGAAATGGCTGAAGAGCAAATGTAAAAAAAAATCAATCGAAGATGTATTGCACCTCATTGCATGAAGACTGGAATGCCTTGAGAAGCTTTTTCACACGAGGTGTAATCCACCCAGACTGCGTGCCATTACTGACAACACCCGCAAAAGTAGTAGAAGCATGTTTACAAACACCTTCGGAGTGATCAAACGAATACTGCAAACAATCCTCATTGCGCGCGCAGACCTCTGCACAAATATCCACTGTAGGAATCGTACCAGCCGCAAAATCAATTTTGATCTGAGAGAGGTTATCCCAATCATCGCGCGCTGAGAAAGTTCCGTCGTAGACAAGCTTCTGGTAAACATCCGCATGCAGCATGAGCGCGTTCTTCCCACTGGCAAAGAAGGCCCGGTCAAACTCCCACATCTCCTCGATATCCGTCGGCGCCATGTGGTGATACGAGATCACAGGGTAACACCATGGCTGCCGCCCGTATCCCTCGGAGAAATGGTCGATTTCCCACGGCCGTGACGTCATCATCATCGGCCAGGCCCAGGTCAGATCGACATGCACATCGTGCAGCGCTCGCGCCAGCGCACAGTCGCCCGCCCACTCGTGCGCGGTCATCGCTTCAAGATCTTCCTTTGCCCGTATCAGGTAATCGTACAGGAGATTCATGGTGTAGCTTGAGAGGACGATGCCCGCTCCACCGTAGCCAAAGAGTGTGTCGCCGATTTGCATGGGGCTGCCCAGGTAGTATTGTCGATCTGGATCAAGGTGGCCCAGCCAGCTGATCAGGTTCGGCCATACCATGTAGGTATCGGCTTCGAGGAAGACGTACCACTTAGCGTCCGGCATTACTTCTAGTGCTTCCTTAATCATTGGGAGGAATTTCCATTTGTCGAGTTTCCAGCCTGGATTGTTGACTTTGCCTAGTGGACCGTTTGTGTCATCGCCCCATTCTGCATCTGTTAAGCCTTCGCGTCCGACTTCTTTTAGACGGCGGTAGATGTTGAATTCGGGTTCTCTTTCCATTGTTGCCTCGCTGATGTTGCGGAGGACGTCATATGTAAGGACACCATCGATGGTTTCTTCGTAGTCGGAGAAGACGGCGAAGTGTGGGACGCATTGCAGCGTGGTGCGGAGGTGGATGGGGACTTTTTCGAGGGATTCGGTCGCGCCGGTTTTGATTACGACCATGACGTCGTCGAGCGCGTGTAATAAATGACTGCATTTCTCCTCCATTGTCTCCTGTTTAGGAGGAGGAGGGAGAGGAGATGTCTCCGGCTTCTCGTCTCCTACCACAATTGTTTCCTCTCCAGCTTGAGGAAATTGTTCTGAGTTGTTCACAATTGACGGGTTGGATTCAGGCAGTCGAAAAAGATAGTATATCATGCAAATTGTAAGGATCGGAAAGACGACGAAGAGCCATCGTCGCGGAGAACTAGACATGGTCGGGTTTGCGCTCAGGGACAATCTAAAGATCAAACAAGAATCGAGGCCATTCACTTAACGAGAGCAAGGCCAAGAAAAGACTGAAAAGACTGTAAAGATTGAAACAAATGCTTCATAAAACATAGCAAAGAAGAAAAAAGAAGGGTCAGCGATCGCTGTCCCTGATCCAAACCAGTTCGACCTCGGCGTCAACGGACAATCCATGGGCCGGTAGCACAGGCTTCATGATTCGGTCGAACCTCTAAACGGGGTAAACGGGGAAGCTTTGATAGGTCAATCGACAGGTTCATTTGGGACTGATCAACCACGCGGCACAGGAGCCAACTAGGCTGTGGCGTCTTTCAGACCGCTGCCCCACGGGAAGCGTCATCGCTTGCGGGACTTTGCATAGCGAGGCAATGATCGACTGTGTATGGAGTAGAGTGTGTTTGATGGGAAGATTCAGGAGGTGAAGGTCATATCAGGGGTATCAAGTTTGAGATTGATGTCTCTTAATCTGTACTTAAAAGTAGTTCAACAGCGATGGCGTTAAATAAATTAAGCATGAAACGGGGGCGTCGACACGGGCGTGTTCGGATTCGACCTAATTGTGGCCTGGGGAATAAGGCATAGATCACGTGTGTTTCAGCACAGACCAGCTTGGGACAAGGTGTTGATTAACAACTCATATTGTCTGGAGGTAACATGATATATTTCAAAAATACATCTCAATCATCACACGTATACAGTTATTCAATTCAATCTTCAGCTTCAGCTTCATCTTCAGTTTCAACTCTCAACCGCCTTTTCCGCTCCCACAAGAAAACAGGAGTGATGGTCAAAGCAACAGCCACACACAAAATAGCAGCCTGAATACCAAAAACCAGTCCGAGCCCATTCCGCTGAATCCATGCAGGCTGGAAGTATCCCACCGCGAACCCGCCACAGGTGCGCCACATATTCAAAATGGCCGAGACACAGGTCGCTTGCTCCGGGTATTTTTCCAATGCATAAGATGAGATGGCACTGTGCAAATGATGTTAGAGATACGCCATAATACTCAACACACCGAAGTTGGAACTTACACAATCGTGGCGACCATGCCGATGTTCACCAGGATCCACCCAATGGCTAACCCAATCCAGTGCTTACCAAAGTGCATGGTTAATCCGTAGGTGAGGAGACCGATTGCCATGCTACTTATCGGAAACCAGACGCCGTGGAGGCGAAGCTCGGTTCGCCAGGTTGAGTTATGGCGCTTAAAGATCCAACCGTTGAAGAAGTGGCCAACCGCCCAGCCTAGCAAAATGGTCAGAATCTCGAGAGATAGGGGGCCTATGAGGATGCATACCACATAAAGCTCCAATCACGCCGGCGAATCGCATCGATGATGCCTCGATCGTGTCAAACAAGTATGGAGGGCTGTGCAGGAAGTTATCGATGGTGGTTGTGATTCCTGGAGAGTCAGCGGGTAAAGGACGGTGTGATGATGGTGACTTACCAATTGGCCAGGTAAATGTTACCAAGATAGCGATGCCTGTTGACAAAAGTTTTGGTCAGTGAGTGCCATTCCAAGGAGGTCAGCCATACCCACCAGTCATTAACAACGGGAACTTGAACACATAGACCACGACTGTTCGGCACCAGTATCTCAACGTCAATCCCTTGGGACGCAGCGTGTTGCCAATTCCAAAATAAGATGCGAGACGCGACTGTTTGATCATTCGTCCAGGCTCATGGTATGTCTCATAGCCGAAGAGGATCACCATGACTGTGGACGCGCCATAGATGGCTGTCAGGACTCCGAAGGAGGTGCGCCAGTCTGATCCAGCGCCGATGTATCCTGCTATCGCGGGACCGAGGAATGGTCCGACGAGGAAGGTGGTACCCCTATGTCCAGTCAGTGCTACTCTAGTTAGACTTAGGCGGCAAGTCTCCTACCAAATATTGATCATGCGCGGCCATTCTGTTGTGGCATCAGCATAAAGGTCCTCGAGACAATCCCAGAGAAAGGACTTACCAGCCGAGGTATACATATCATGAATGATCGGAAGTCCAATTACCTGGGGCACTGTCCCAAACAGACCCTGCAAAGAGCGGAAGGTCGTGAAGGTAGACCAATCATTGGAGAGGGTTGCACCTAGCACCATAAACATGGTGATCACCTGAGGCCACAACCAGATCGGCAAACTACAGCTGTCAGTGCGATAGCCAACATGGAAAAGAAAACCAACTTACCGACCGTATGCTTCAATGAGTGGAACAGCAAAGATCCCTCCAAACCCTTGCAGCAGAATACCATAATTCATACTCGTCGCCGAGTGAGTGATTGAAATATTCCAATCCATGGCCTGCTCCGTGACCAACGTTCCACCCCAGACCATAGCCCTGCAAGAGATTTCGTCAGAAAAATCATCTATGGATACACATTTGAGCTGGTAGCCGCGATGAGTTTCTCGACTGGCCATACATACCCATCTGCCAACAATGAGCTCGTCATCAGCGACACAAAGAGCATTGTTTTCCGCGACGAGGACCAATTCCTCGGGTTCAAGGGATCCTTGGTCTCAATATCTGAATTAGAATCGCATTCCTTCAATTCCTGTGTTTCAAGTGACGACAAAACACTTGCTGCCATCCCGTGTGTAGAGTAGACAGAGGGTTTCTCCGTGGTTAAGTTCACCATTTTTGCCTGTTATTTTTGTATAAGTTGTAGGCAAGCCCGAAATAACTTGAGTCAGGTAAGGAGGTGAAGATCCTTTTTCTTTTTTTTGGTGACTAGGCATGGGTTTTATGCATTTTTACACATGGAACTCGCGTGGTTTTTTCATAGCTGGAGACTAGGGAGAGATCAGACATCTATATTTCCGATTTGGGATATGAAAAGTCTCCGGAATCTACTCCGTATATATTTTGTATATACATCACAAAGGTAAATTGGGAGTGGATATTCTGGACTTTGCCTTTCGGTTTAAATATTGAAATTGTTCTATTTGCTAGTTCTTTTTATTTCTTTATCTTGTAATAACCCTTGCGCATACCTAACCTCAGGACCAATGATCTTACACAGAGCACATTAATCCCATTTTAATACTCCATAATGGATCAAGGATTATTGTATTGTAACCTACTAGTATTCTAATTATCTACGTATTTGTTCTCATTGCACCGGAATCCGTGCCGGATCCATATGTACATGTACTTATGTTGGACTCCGTACATCTGTAGATATTTAGACCAAAAGTATGGAGCATAATGGAGAGTATACAAACATAACACTTCCCTATTCCTATTCACCCCCTCAAACCCCTTCCAATTCCAATGTCTTTTCTAACTCACCTAGCCAGTCTATTGGGCCTATCCTCTCCAGCCCCCGTTGCACCCCCAGGGGCCACCCTCGCAGCAACCGTTACAACAGTGAGTATGACCAACCCGTCAGGCAAGTTGTCTATCTAATTCGATCATAGCCTGCCTCATTGGGATTTGTTCCGGTCGCGATTCATTTTGATCTCTTTAATATCCTCGTCAGTCATGGCGGACCCGCGACGGCTGATGAAGTCTCGGCGACCTGCAATGCACGTATCAAAGCCCGAGTGAAGGATGAGCCTAAGCTGAGTAGGTGTTTGAGTTTGAATGGCTGATGTTATATTGACAATTAATATAGGTACCAGATTGGCCTGTAAGCATGTCTGATTTGCTACGTATAGATACAAGCACGGAGTATACCAATACTAATACCTTTCGCAGCGGACACACTATACATCATGGCCGGACTCGGTCTAGTTGACCGCGTGGCCGAGGACTGCTTCATAGCAAATGCCATCACGAACCACATGGTCGCCATGCCATCCGCTCAGCATGGCGCACTGCACTTGTCAGTTTCCCATGTCCAGTTTCCATTCCAGAAACTAGTATAATATTCCACGCTAACCCCCTCTAGCACCACGGAAGGCTTAATGGCTGGCGCATTCTTGATGAAAAAGCTCCAGGACACTCGCTTTGCATATCCCTTCGATGCAGACGGCCCCTTGCAATATGCCTATCGGCTAATGGGTCAGTCCGAGTTGGCAGAGAAGCATACGTACTCGATCATGGAGACCCAGGGTCGTATGGATAGTTTCAATCATTTCATGGTCGGCAAGTTCCTGAAGTTCGGGACCTTTCCCGACCGGGTCAAGTCAATGGGTTACGATTTAGATGGTGCATTAGCGGGTGACGCTGCCACTGACTCTCGCACTAGCTCCGCTACGATGGTCGATATTGGGGGCGGTCGTGGCGAGCTCCTCCTCGAGGTCCAGGCTGCCTACCCACATCTTGGTGCGGAGGATCTAATCGTACAGGAGTTCAACGCTGATATTGATGACGTTCCTGGTGTGCGTCTCATGAAGTGGAACTACAAGGAGGCTGAACAGCCCGTTCGTGGTGCCTATGTTTACGCGCTGCAACATATCTTGCATAATTTGCCTGATTTGGATGCGGTGGCGTTGTTACAGAAGATTTCGCGTGCCATGGCACCTGGTTCGCGAATTTTAATTATCGAGTATGCGAAAAATCTGACCTATACTTCGCTCCATGCGAGTATGATTGCGTTGTATGGGGGCCGAGAAAGGAGTTCGGTGGAGTGGAAGCAGATGGCGGGTTTGTCGGGGCTGGAAGTGACTTTCGAGGTTTATGTTAGAGCTGGAGAATCATTGGTTGAGATGAGAAGGGCAGATTCATTGTATTAATTAATTCGTTGTGATGTATCTATTTCAGCCCCATATAGATCACATCCTCTCGGATTCTCTCCCCAGATCAGCATCTTCGCTTACCTGAATCTTATATTATTTTTAATCCTGCGAACTCATAGATCTTTGTCCGATCTTAGAACGTATCGAACCCGTTAGTTCCACATGGGATATTTTCTTTTTCTCATTCGTTGTCATATCCCTTGTTGCAGTATGGAGTATGCATGGCATGGTTTTTATCCCCCTTTCCCCCAGGAATGTCCCTTGTGTCTAATCCACATAATGCAAACCTACCTGTCCATTGCCAGCACGATCAACAGATCGAATTTTGGAAGAGTAACCACGCGAGCTTGACTCCTGTCATAATTGGACGTACATGACCTCGTACCCAGGGTTTGATACTGCGCCATATTCAATGCACAGCTCGCTTCGATTGACCTTGGTTTTTTTCTTTCTCAATCTCCTGATCTATATATATTACATCCCTTGTTTCCCCTCGTTCCACTCTTGTTATATACATCCTTCCACCCGATAGACGAGAGTTTAAGCAGGGTTCTGACCTGTAAATTGGTTCGAGAGATTTTGGCGTGATCTTCGCTTCCGAGAACCTTCAAGGGCAACTTGGAAAGATATTAATCCTGTTGTTTCGCTTTTGATCTATCTGATTGACCCCCGCACATCTATGCCAATGAGTACTTGAATTGGCTCCCCGCGCTAGAATTGGGAATCTGGTGTATACTTGGCTGCTGGCCACATCTGGTCCTTGCGTTACATCTTCATTATGGATATTCCAAAACCTGTTGAGGGCGATGTTGACATTGGTATGTTTACCTCGGGGCAAGGCCAAACAAATGGATCTAGACGATCATGTATTAACACAAATGTTTACAGGAACTGGTACATTTCAGGCTTGCTGGGTATGCTATCAACCCTCTTAGAGTACCTCTGCATGTGTTCATACTAATAATCGAGCAGGTCCTCACAGCCATTGTCGGCGTAGCATTGTTGTTCCGCTATGCCGTCAAGGCCTGGGTGCGTTGGGCTTTGCCGCAGGTCACTGCACCCGGCCGAATCTGGGGTATAGAGGACTTGTTCTTCCTCGTAGCTTGGGGTTTTGATATTACTCATATGATATTTATTCAACTGAGGTGAGATCGACTTTTGCCATTATTTCCATACCAGCCATTAACTCTGTCTAGTGCCAATTGGGGTCTCGGGAGGCATTTCTTCTACTTAACGGGTGAAGAACGTCTTAATGCTATGAAATGGGACTTCCTTTCACAGCCTTTGGCTGTCACTTCGGCGATGATTTCTCGCGCAGGCATGATGTGGTTCCTTTTGACCTGCTTTGCGGCAAGCGACAAGAATATTCGCAAATCTATTATTATCTGCGCTATTGTTCAAGTCGTTGTCAATATGGTTACCATTGTCCAGATCATTGTCCAGTGCGGACCGAACCCATATCAAACGGTTAGTACTCTCCTTCTTGGTCTTCGACCGGTTCTAATCCCATCGCAGACTGATCGAGTTCAATACTTCCACTATATGTGGACACCACTCCCTGAAGATGGCTCCGTCAAGTGCCAATCACCGGCCGTCCAGACAACTATCGGATTTGTGCAAGGAGGTATGTAAAATAGTCATACTTCAGCTCAGCTCATTGTTAATTACAATTCCCACAGGGTTCAACACCGCCATCGATTTCTTCCTCGCTGTACTCGCTGCCGTCGAACTCTGGCAATTCTTTTTACGAACTCTCCACCGTAATCCAAACATAACGTTCTGGTCCCAATTCTGCAAAATCAGTGGCACCGTCCGATCCCGCCGGATTTGGCAGACCATCACTCTCAGTGGACCACTGATCCTCTCCGGGTGTGCTTCTATTGTAAAGACCTATGTGAGTAGACTGTCTATTCCCCCGACTTATTCGGCAATGCTAATATAATTCACCAGAAACTCAAATCCCTCGGTGACAGGCAGGACTTTACATACAACATCGTGACGTTTGTTCTCTGGGTAAAGTAAGCACAACTACCATCTCTCAAGCCGTCTCCCAATACTTTTAACTAACAACCCCAGAATTGAAAACTACAGCATCCTTCTCGCCTCCTGTGCCCCAGTAGCCCGTCTCTTCCTCCGCTCCTTCGTCGACCACAGACGCGAAGGCCGCACTCACGGCTACTGGTCTCGCACCCCGTCGAGTGGCCACAACGAGCCTGACACAGAGCTAAAACGCCGCGCTAATGCAAAGGACCATTGGCTGGATTCGACGACAGTAACTAATATGACCAATACTGGCATTCACGATGAGGAGAATCCGGCGACTCGGTGGGATGTGTATGAGCATGAGCGCTCGAGTAATCGGGTTTCGAAGGCGGAGATGGCGGGGCAGCTTGATGATGGATTTGTTACTGTCAAGACAGATATTGTTGTTCAGGTTGGTAATAGGCGGTCGACTTCTTCGGGTGGAACGAAGTTGTTACCTGGTGGTGAGGCTCATTCTGGGGGCTTTCATTGATATACGGTATAGAGATCTATGATATATAACAAGGGCTTGGATAGCTACCCTGATTGGTCAGGACTTGTAATTTCAATCCCCAGGACTAGAGTATACAATTCTTTATCTCATACACGCTAGCTCTGTCGAGGATCTGAGCGCGCGACTTGACTCACGTTACCATAAGCACGCGAGTGTAACATGCAAAGGGGCCTGGATTCAAATCAAAATCCATAAACAAACCTCATTCACCATATATCTCCCAACCGAGATCCTGTTTGGAATAATCCAAGCAGTGGTAGAAACCCTCCCAATTCATAATGTAGTCAATCTGAGACTTGTCAATAGTATGCGAGAAAGATATATCTCTCTCTTCCATCTCACACCACGAACCATTAACCAAATCTACCAGGTGCATTTAACTCCGGGATAATGACCCAGCTCATCCATGGCCCGCGTTGATAAAGCGATGGCTTTGGTTTCGGACCGCGCACTGAATTTTACTACGGCCGTTCGCCCGGCGAGCGCAGCCTATTGTGGTTCAAGTTCCCGCGCCGCTTTCAATTCGAGTACCTGCACGAGAAAATCAACAGAAACACACGTGAAGAATTTATATTTGCCATGTACGTGCAGAAGCTACTTGACATGCCGCATGAGCCAGGTACTGCGCATTTTAGGGTCTCGAGCTATAACACCATAGGTTGTCCGTGGCGACGCGCAGCGAAAACTGGGTAGGTTTGAGAATTTGGATTGAGTACAATAAATCGTTTGAGCCTGGTTGGATTAGGTGGTTGGGTCTTGCTGTCAGGGATGGGATTCGGAATCAGAATGATATAGTAGAGTTTATTAGTGAAGCTGCTAGTAGAATATAGTTCCAGTATCTACGAGGCATCCTTTATTCCTACGAGGAAAGGCATGCTACCTCTGTTACTTTCGGCTGCCTAGACAGGATCTGTTCCATTAGTCGAATTTCTTCTCGAGGATAAGGTAGGTGCTTCGTTTGTGTGGAAAGGCAAACAGTGGGAGCCGAGGGAGGTTACAGTGCCGGTGAGGGATAACGAGAGAGTCTGCCATCTGATCCCACGTGGGGGAAACACGTGGATTGTATGTCCTTGTCATATAATTAGCTGGCATGTTCATATTAGGTGCGATATGACCAAATTGTAGGACGTTGGAATATGTTGCTGTGTTATATGGATATATATAGTTTGAACCCATGAGGGATGCTAACCAACTCCGTGTATATGATAGCCCATGTTCAAACCAGGCTAGTCAGTGGCTTGAATGTACAAGAAAGAGATGAAATAATTAAAAACAATGCTACCTACATGGATTTGGGGAGAAAATGTTCAGATCATACATAAGACTATGAGACTACACATTCAGCTGAGCAAGGGAACATAATGGCATTATTTGCCTGCTCATTCATCAATTGGCCTAAGTGGTCGAACAGTTTCCTGGTCTAGCGGTTATGATTTTCCGTTAACAAATGCGATTAGCAAATGTTCCGGAAAGGTTCTGGGTTCGATTCCCAGGGAAACTATTTTTTTAATTAAATGTTAACTTAACAAAAGTGCTTTTACTTTCTTTCTTTCATTCTTTTTTTTTTTTTTTTTGGCTTTTCATGTTGTATATAGATCACAAAATAATATTTCATTTAGTGAGCCTAACCTTAATAATCCATTGATACAGTCCAAAAGTATCGGACTGTGAGTAAAAAAGGAGTAGAAACAAGCACGGGATTTGGAAAGTTACAAATTGTGCGTCTACGTAGGATTGTTGATTCTACCAAGGTTGCTTTCTTTCTATTCGTAGGTTACTCTAAAAATATAGAAGAAACACAAAAAAGAAATGCTCACACTCGGAGTCGAACCGAGGATCTCATCATTACTAGTGATGCGCTTTACCACTAAGCCATGCGAGCTGGTTGATGTATGTACTAGCACTATCAAGTTATATAAGCCAAAACTAAAATACCAACAAAGACAATGATTCCCACGACTGTAAAGAGAGGCCGGGCCCAAATATACATTTCCAAGCGTGTAGGCTTGCTTCAGCCTTCTACAATGTCCTAATTTATATCCCAAATATAACATAGATTAATGACATATTTATCACGTGCGCCTATCATCATCTCCACCGCGCTGTCAATAGCTTCACCCTCCAACAATGCCGCCCAACAAACCATTTCCCTACCGACGGAGCTCTAATGCATCGGAAGATGACTTCTTCGACATTCCCGACGAACCATGTCTTTCCATAGTCAAGCGCCAACTACGACGTGTCCGAACATGGGTCACAGTCGCCATTATCGTCCTGTTTATCTTGTGGCAACGCCGTGAACGACCTCCGCCGCCGCCCCTACCACATATCCACTACGACGAGGTCGATTGGTCGCGCTTTGCCTATACCCAGTATGCAACTAACGAGGTCTACATGTGCAATTGCCTGATGGTCTTTGAGGCCCTGCACAGACTCGGCAGCAAGGCGGACCGCGTGCTGTTTTACCCCGAAGAGTGGGACCTCGTTGTCGAGGACGAGTTTGATCGCGTCAGCCAGTTACTACTTGAGGCTAAACACAAGTACAAGGTGATGCTGATCCCGATCAAGATTGAGGGAATTCAGGATGGATCGGGTGAGTTGGCCTGGAACTGACCCAGCTGATTGAACATACCCACTTACACTCGTTTCATAGGCTCCGGTTCGCAGGCTTCGTGGGATACCAGTATAGCCAAACTCATGGCCTTTGGCGAGCATGAATACGACCGCGTTATCCACCTCGACTCGGACGTGATCCTCCTTCAAACAATGGACGAGCTTTTCTTCCTCCCACCTACCACTGTCGCCATGCCACGGGCCTACTGGCTTCTCCCAGACAAAATGCTCTCGTCACTGTTGGTCGTCATTGAGCCCTCCCTCCGCGAGTACCTCGCTTTGACTGAAACTACCACGCTCGCTCAGAACGGCCAGGTCGATATAAATCTGACGGAACACCGGTATGATATGGAGCTGTTGAACAGGCGGTACGGGGACTCGGCAATGGTCCTCCCGCATCGGCAGTACGGTCTATTGACCGGCGAGTTCCGGAAGAAAGATCATCGCAATTTCCTGGGGAATGATGACGAGGTCTGGGACCCTGATCATATCCTGGCGCAGGCTAAGTTTGTGCACTTTTCGGATTGGCCGCTGCCGAAGCCGTGGATTATGTGGCCGCAGGAAATGTTGGCAGCTGAGCAGCCCAAGTGTGATAATAACCCTGGCACGCCGCAGGAGAATGGATGTCGGGATCGGGAGATTTGGAAGATGATTTATGATAACTATCGGAGACAACGAAAGGTATGTCTATTTATGAGGGATGGGGTTGAATCGGGTTGAATTGGTTTGCTAACTTGGTGTAGGATGTCTGCAAGCTGCTCAGTTATCCGGCGCCGATGTAGTGGAAACACTTTCTTAAATGTGTATACATACAGTAATATAGGTAGATGGCGTTTGGTATATTAACCTGGAAAGGGAATGAATGACTTGATGACATATATACTTTACGATCACTCGGTATAAAAATTCAATTGGATATCTTAGGAAGTACACAATACCAAAACACCACGAATGCAATAAAGACATCAAGCATATCCCATCCCCCTCCTCCACCAATTCCACACCCCCCTCCTCGCCATGATGCCCCCAAACTCCTTGACACTATCCACCTCATCCAGTCCTAATGGGAGATCCAACTCTTTCCCATTCCCAGTCCCTTGTTTCCCACCTTCCCCCTCCTCCTCCACAACCCCGGGCCTTGTCACCAACTGGAAATCCTTATATCGTAGGTGACGCACAACATCCACCCAGCTCTCTACCCGTTCCTTCCCACCCTCCACGTACATGATCCCCGGACACCCGCCGGAGCGTAGGAGCACGGCGCATTGGTGTGTATCTGCGGCGCGTTTGAGGGCGGCTACCTTTTTGCGGGAAGTTATGTGGTGGGTGCGGATTAAAGCGTTGTAGAGGGTTTGCATTTTTGGGTAGGAAGGGGGAGAGAAAGAGGAAGTTGAGGCTGAAGTTAAGAGCTTGGAGCTTGGGGCGCTAGACCAGATTAGGAAATTGGGGAATATGATTTGGAGATGAAAGAGGTTGTTATATTGGGATTATTGATTGCTATGGAAACTAATATTGGAATTTTTGATCTTCGATGTAATTATTTGTATCATTTGTATCATCTGTAGAATATTGAGTATAATCATATAAATCAAATGATATTTCATCACATTTTTAAAAAATAGACACCTTAGGCAGCAATACATAAATATCGCCACGTGAGAAAATCTCCGATGGAAAAGTGCGGGGGGGGGGATCAAGTGGCAATGCATGTCTTGGACCTCGTATATATGATAGATATGTATGATCTGGAGTTGTACATAGTCCAAAGCCCTAAATGGCCAAATGTGACTTAGAATATCTAATCTATAAACATATTTAGATACTAGTACATTATGTATGTACATCTAATATAGGGTTAACGAGTTAGCCGTCGATAAAGAACAAGTTCCATGGTTTTATGACTCTAGAATCTGGTTCGGTGGATCCATTTCTCGCCTTGGCTTCCTTTTTCTGCAAAACAATCGCGCGGTGGCCGCGGATACCGAAGCTTTTTCTTTTCTATATTCGGAAATTCTTTAGGGACCGCCCAAAGTGGTAAAAAGACTGAAAAAGAAACTTTCTTCGCATCCACTTGCCGCCTGTCATTGGTTTTAATTGGTTGCTTGATTTTATATAATTCGAGATCCTCTCCGGGACCCATCTTGACGATTCTGCCTTTTGATCTCTTCAGTCTTGGCTTCCTTTTTCAAGTATATATCTTTTTCTTGAATTGAATTCTTATTCTTTATATAAAGCAACATCGTGCAAATTCTTACATAGTATGAGCCCCGGATTTCTTTGCCTCTAACTATATCGAAAGGGTCAATATGCCCGCTCCTCTTCATCCCCACCTGAAGCATAGCTCTTCCTTTGCTACAGAAAAACACAACAATGATCCCCCCAGGGTGCAGGTCTCGCATGAAGATGAGAATATTCTTGCCGATATCCATCACACATTAACCACCCAAACTCACCCGGATCCCAAGTATCCGGAACCACATTCCTCTTTCGACAAGTTCCTCGAGGAACAAGTCCAGGGTAAGAAACCAGCCAACCTCGGTGTCTGTTTCCAATCCCTCTCAACTTGGGGTGATGGGGACTCCCACACAGATGTAAAGACCCTTGGCACCGCCCTGTGGCGTACCCTCACCCTACAGGATATCTACGAATGGACCATCCAGCCATGGATCGCAAAGAAGAAGCCCGAACATGGGCGTCCGCTGATCAGGGACTTTTCCGGCGTCGTGCAGAGCGGGGAGATCATGCTGTAAGCAGGAACCCAACACGAACCAATCCTTACCGAATTTAGCCTAATTGAAATATAGCGTTCTGGGCCGTCCTGGTGCCGGCTGCTCAACCTTCCTCCGAACTATCGCGGGTCACCACTCCTCTTTTTTGGGGGTCACGGGCTCAATTGATTACTCCGGTCTTAGCTCGGATGAAGTCAGGAAGCACTACCGTGGCGCCGTGGCGTACGTCCCCGAGGACGATGTGCATTTCCCAACCCTGACCGTGCGCCAAACCCTTGAGTTTGCCCTGCAGAGTAAGACCCCCAAGCGCTATCGGGAGAGAATTCCCCGGTACCTGGAGATCTATGGGCGGGTTTTTGGTATGTCACATACCATGAACACGTTGGTGGGAAATGAGTATATTCGCGGTGTCTCTGGAGGAGAGCGCAAGCGTATCTCCATTATTGAATCTCTCGCGACCGATTCGTCGGTAGCATGCTGGGATAATTCTACAAGAGGACTGGATGCGTCATCTGCACTCGACTATGCACGCAGTCTGCGTATCATGACCGATACCTGTGGCAAAGCAACCTTGCTCACTTTGTACCAGGCCTCAGATGCTATCTACGAGCTGATGGATAAGGTGCTGCTCATTGATGAGGGCCGCATGCTATACCAAGGACTTGCCAATGAGGCGAAGTGCTACTTTGAAGGTCTGGGCTACGAGTGCGCTGATATGCAGACCACGTCGGATTTTCTGACTAGCATCACCCTGCCTGAAAGACGGCGTTTCCGTGCCGGATGGGAAAACCGTGCGCCCAAGGGCCCCATCGAACTTGAAGCCGCTTTCCGCCAGAGTGCTGCGTTTGCCAAAGTCGAGACGGCTGTCGAAACCTACGAAGACCAGAAGCTCACCGGTAGGTCTTCCGGTGCGTACCCGGCAGGTTCGGAGTGCGACAGCGTGGAGATATTCAAGAAGACTGTGCAGAGTGATAAGTCTCGCTTCGTCTCGTCCAAGTCACCATATACGATTTCGCTCTTCCGGCAGGTCGTTCTCTGCGCAAAGCGTCAGATGTGGCAGCTGAAAGGTCACATGGGCCCACTATACATCAAGTTGATTTCTTGCGTGGTGTATGGGCTGCTGATTGGATCTATGTTCTACGATCAGCCCCAGACCACCGAGGGGATGTACTCCCGCGGAGGTGTGCTTTTCTACTCTTCCATTTTGCTTGCCTGGCTGCAGATGTCAGAGTTGGAAGACGCCATGCAGGGTCGCGATATCCTGAGCCGACAGAAGAAATTCGCTTTTGTGAGGCCCAGCGCCGTGTGTTTGGCCCGGGTGGTCTCAGATATGGTGGTCACTGCCGTTTTTACATTCTTGTATTTGATCGTCATGTACTTCCTGTCTGGCCTACGGTCTGATGTGAGTAATTTCGGACTCTTGACGCGAGTATAGATACTAACTCTGCTAGGCTGGTCCCTTCTTCATTGATTTCCTCTTCATTTATACTTGCACGGTCTGCCTCACGGCACAATTCCGTGTCTTCGCCGCTCTATCACAGAACTTTGAAGTTGCCCTCCGCTACTGCGGAGTTTCTGTTCTGTTTTGCATCGTGTTCGGTGGCTACGTTCTCTCCGTCGATAAGATGATTCAAGATGTTCCGTGGGTTGGATGGCTTGCATATACGACCCCTGCTCTGTATACATACGAAGCAGTCATGGCGGCCGAATTCCACAACATTAACTTCACCTGCGCGGCCGCATCCATTACCCCGTCCGGCTCGGAATATACGGACCTCGCATACCAAACCTGTGCTTATGCTGGTAGTCAGATTGGCAGCACCGTCGTCAACGGCGATGACTACCTGGCGGTGAAGTTTGGATTCTACTACAGCAACATCTGGCGCAATTTCGGGATTCTGTGTCTCTTCACCGTTGCCTTTATTGGCATGACCTGCTGGTTGAGCGAGGTGCTTGAGTGGGAGCTGGACAGTGCTGGTCCTATCCAGTACAAGGGCTCGCGGAAGCTGTTTAAGCGGAAGAAGAATTTCCAGTCTGATGAAGAGAAATCGCCGGTCTCGGTTGATTCTACTGCGCCCCCTGTTGGCCATGAAACAAAGCACGATCAGACACTGACAGCTACCCAGTCTACCTTTTCCTGGTCTGACTTAGAGCTCAATGTGCAGATTGGTAAGGAGACCAGGAAGATCTTGGATGGCGTTTGTGGATACTGCAAGCCAGGGTCTTTGACTGCTCTCGTTGGTGCCTCGGGAGCGGGCAAGTCTACATGTAAGATCTCCGAAGAAATGAACTCATCGCTTGATTTCTGACAATTTTTAGTGTTGACTGCACTCACCCAAAGAGAGAGCCCCGGCACCTTATCTGGGTCTCTATTCGTGGACAACCGATCAATTGACCAGTCCTTCAACCGACAGATCGGATATTGCCAGCAAATGGACATCCACGACGAAAGTAGCACGATCAAAGAAGCATTCGAGTTCTCTGCACTGCTCCGACAAAGCCACGAAGTTCCAAAGGCGGAAAAGCTGGCATATGTGGAAACTGTGATTCACACATTGGAGCTAGTTGAATTGCAAGATGCAGTGATCGGTTCTTTGGACATCGAGAAGAAGAAGCGTGTTACTATTGGAGTGGAGCTATGTGCTCGACCAAACCTGCTTCTTTTCCTGGATGAACCGACAAGTGGACTCGACAGCCAAGGCGCAACTAGTATCGTCGCTCTGCTGCGACGTCTCGCCAACCAGGGACTGGCGGTCCTCTGCACCATCCACCAGGCTAACCAGCAACAATTCGAAGAGGTAAGTTTACCAACCACCCTGATCACGAATCAATATTAACAAGACCCAGTTCGACCGTGTCCTAGCCCTGAGTCCTGGTGGAAGCACATACTACTTCGGCCCAGTCGGCGAATCCGGCCACGCAATCTTCGAGTATTTCGCCAGACACGGCAACATCCCAGAAAAGGTCACTAACGCAGCCGACTTCCTCATCGAAGTAGTCGTCGGCGGCATGAAAGCCTCGGGAAACCAAACAAACTGGTCAACTGTGTGGCGCAACTCAGAAGAATGCGCCGAAGTCAAGAACGAAATTGCCTCAATCCGCTCTGACGAGAATACCCGCTCCCCTTCCCTGCCTCCAGCCCTTCCTCCTCTCAGCCAGCAGATCAAACTGCTCACCCAACGGACCTGTCGCCAGTTTTGGCGCACCGCCGAGTACCCGTACTCGCGACTTTACTCTTCCTTCCTCCACGCTCTCATCAACGGTCTCACCTACCTCCAAATCGGAAACAGTACCACGGACCTCCAGTCGAAAGCTTTCTCCTGCTTCCTTGTCCTAATGCTCGTCCCCGAGTTTATCAACGCTATATCGATGCGCTTCATCCTGAACCGCGATATCTGGTTAGCCAGAGAGGGTCCTAGTGGTGTATACGGCTGGGTAGCATTCTGCACAGCCCAGATAATCTCTGAGATCCCCTATTCCGTCATCGGCAGCGTCGTCTTCTTCGTCCTATACTACTTCATGGTGGGACTACCACTTGGCTTTGCAGCGGGATACTGTTTCCTGATGTTCTTCCTGTTCTTCCTATTTGCGACCTCGTGGGGTCAGTGGATTGCCGCGATGAGGTGAGTCTCATATGACCAAGTACCATTTCTTTACCGCAATGATCAACTAACATATGCTGTCAATTATAGTGCTGACTCAATGATCGCCGCCACCCTCATGCCCTTCTTCATTATCATGTGCGAGCTCTTCAACGGCATCCTCCGTCCACAATCCCAGATGCCTGCCTTCTGGAAGTATACTATGTACTACATCACACCATTTACGTACTGGATTGGTGGAGTGCTCACTTCCGTCCTCCGGGGTACTACTGTTGTTTGCTCCCAGACTGAATTAACCATCTTTGAGAGTCCGCCCAATACTACTTGCAGTGAGTATGCGGGCGCGTGGCTTGATGCGAAAGGTGTTGGCTATCTCTCGAACCCAGATGGGACGGGCAAGTGTGGATATTGTGAATATAGCTTTGGTGATGATGTGAGTTTGTTCCCTGGAACAAGTTTTCTGGAATTGATGCTAATATATGCTGGCAGTACTTGTCTGGAATTGGTCTGGATTCTTCGAAGATCTGGCCGTATTTCGGGATCTTCCTTGCTTTCACCGTTACTAATTACCTGATGGTTTATTTGCTGGTTTATATGCGGTCTGTTATGAAGCCGCTTGGGCGGTCGAAGTAACTTTTTGCTGGCACTTTCTTTGATTTTTGGATGTACATTCGGCATAGCGTTGCGTATATACCAAAAGTGAAGCAGTTTGACCTTGAGTTCTTAGAATGAGATACTAGAAATGACCTAGAATATGATTTACCTGTTTCATATGTAGTCATATATCATTCTCTCTGATTCCATAATTACAATAGAGATCTTGCACTGAAATTCCTTTTCTATCATACCTCTTAGAGGTAGTTATACGGAAGTGCTAACCTCGGAAGAGCCCAATGGATGCCTCGTGGACCTTATATAATCATGATGCCTGATTTTCAAGGTTTGAAATTCCAGGCTCCCACATTAATCTCAAATTCCAGCCATTCCAGCCTTTTACCCGGAGACGATTATAACCTATTAATGAAAAACATGGCCTCAAAAGCCGAATGAGTCACATTGGCAAAGCTTGACTCGTTTATCAATCAGCTCTCTCGGAGATAACAGTTTCACTACTGAAACGAGTATCTCCGAGACCGGACATGCCGCTTCGAGTAAGCAGCTTCATCCGTGTCATCATACATAGACGTCAAATAAGCCCTGTTTCAAAGGCCATCTGTCAATTACTGTCAAAGAGGTATTCTCCATACGTGAAATATCCAGAGAATCTGGAAAGGCGCGCGCTCCGACAAGGCACGTCTCACCCATGTCTAGCGCCACAAGTTCCTACAAAGGAAAATCAATCTGAAATCAGAATCATTTGACAATCCTGAAAATGGAAAATCATCACTTCTCTACAGACCATGAGGAGATTGAAGATCAATCTCGTGCTCCACAGCGTCGCCGTCGCCCCCCCCTGTCTTGTACAGTCTGTCGCAAACGCAAATTAAAATGTGACCGTTCTCTGCCCTGCGGGCAATGTGTACGCTCCAAAACAACAGCCCAATGCATTTTTGTCGGAGCCCAGCCCAGTCTTGGATCGGAACCTTCTCATCAACGCATGTCACCTCCGCAAGTACCAACTGGTGGCGTGGAAGAGCAGTCCGGCCGAAAAAGCGGCATGTTTGTCTTCGACTCAAAATTGGGGCCGAATTCGACCTCAAATCGTGTTTCGAAGCGTGGTCATTCGGATGAGTTGCACGAGCTCCGGAGTCGATTGCGTGTTTTGGAGAATTCACTTGGCAAATCGTCTCATCTTCAGACGCCGGAGACCTCGGTTTGTGATGTTTTTTCTGAAGTCGATACGGCTAATAGTTGTGAGAATGTTGGCGTTGATGACCGCGTGCGATTCTTGCCGGATTCGAGTTTCCGTGGGAAGAAGGCCAAGACTCGTTATTTCGGTCGCAGTCATTATACCACTACGGTTTCTTTTGTGAGTATCCTGAATTGTATTGTGTGGTGTGTATTTGCTAATTGGATGCAGTTCCAAGATATTGGCGCCTTTATAAGCCGTGGTCGTTGCCGCGGAGAGGGAAAGGATAAAGAGTACTGTGATATGAAACAGTTCAAGACGGAGCTTTGGTCGCGCGAGACAGAGGACCATCAACAAAATTTCCGCGAGCAGGCTTTTAAGCTGAATGAAATGGTTCCACAGAGAAATGTTGCAGACCATCTGCTCCAGCTATATCTTGACACTTTCGAGACGACATATCGAATCTTGCACACGCCGACTTTCTTCAGACAATATGCTGATTACTGGGCCAACATCCAGCCAATCGATATGGGTTTTGTCGCTCAGTTACTCGCCGTGATGGCTGCTGGCAGCTGCTTTTATGTCCCACCTCCAGGCCAAGACGACCGAGACACATTTCAGAAACCGGCCATGAAGTGGATTATGGCCGTCCAGTCATACATCTCGTGCACCTTTGTGAGTCCGGATATTGACTTCCGAATGCTCCAAACCCAGTCTCTTCTTCTGGTAGCGCGCCTCGGAGTCGCGAGTGACGGGGACGTTGCCTGGGCCTCCGCCGGGTCGCTGATTCGGTCTGCGATGATAATGGGTCTGCATCGCGACCCGACTCGCTTCCGCAAGGCTCGACCATTCTACTCCGAGCTGCGCCGTCGCCTTTGGGCAACTATCGTCGAGCTGGACCTCAAAATCTCTCTCGATCGCGGCGTTCCGCCATCAGTTGATCTAGACGAATGCGACTGCAATCCACCGTCCAATTGGGACGATGCAGACTTGACACAGCACATGGAGAATGATCCTGCTCCACTCAGTACTGCTCTTTATACCCAAAACTTCTACCAAACTCTCCTCACCAAGACCCTACCACTACGATATCGAATTGCCAAGAAAATCAACAGTCTTCGATTTAATCTATCTTACGATGACGCCCTGCGAATGGGTGATGAACTCTCCCGCTCCATGCAACATGCATCCTCCTTATTTGAGGACAACGCCCTGAGTATCGCTCCGGGAGAATCAGGACGTCACCGTTTCGCCCAATCTCTATATCTCTTCATAATGCGTAAATTCCTCCTCGCCCTCCACCGCCCATTCTCACTCAGTGTTGTCCGCCTACCCAAATGCTCCTACTCCCGCAAAATCTGTCTCGAAGAATCTCTCGGCATTCTCTCCCAGATGGAACTTCCCCTCTCGACAGAGGACATCCTCTACCCGAACATCACCCAGCTGGGTAGCGGTATGTTCCGCGATGAAACATTCCACGCTGCAATCACCGCCTGCGTGGAGCTGTCCCTTCAAGCCAATGAAATGAGTACGTCTGCTACATCCGGGATGGATGGCGTCAACTCCAGCGTGCTCATGAGCATGATCCAGTCCCAACAAGGCGTGATGTTGCAGGCCGTCGAGCGCACCGCTGATAATTTTGGAAGACGCATTGGTCCCGGTGGGAAGGGGTGCAAGCCTTTTTTCTTTCTGAATATTATCCTCGCTTCGGTCAAATCCCGCGTCAAGGGTGAGGATCCTTTGTGTAATGTTGATACGGCATCGAAGAGATCCGTTCGCATTTCCAGGGCGATATTGAATGGCCTTACATACCAGGAGGCGAAGATCAGCGTTGATAATCGCCCTGTTCAGGTTGGTACCTCCGCTTACAGCTGTGTGCCTACCATATCTAACGTTCTTGTTCAGACTTCCATTCCTTCGGGGACGACCCCGGCCTCTGCTACACCGAGTGATATTGATCCTGCGTCGCTTCTGTCGAATGGATTTAGTGATTTGACGGTAAGTTATCGTTCCCCGGATGATGTTTGACGCTATGCTGACATTTCACAGCCAATGGATCTAGGTGGCTGGTTTGATGGATTGGATTACACTGGACCAGAGTTGTGGGATTGGGATACCGACTTGTCTGCCAATCTTCCGACATTCTCATGAATTATGTAGCTATTCCCCCAATACTAATGACAGCGCTTGATGCCCTGTGATATCTCTACTCAATGTCCTTCTCACACTCTCATGACTAAATAGATATTCCTACACACTTAATTAGAACAATGAGTAAACATTTGCAACCTATATCAATCTATAGAACAAGCCCTCCAAACCCTCAAATCCTCAAACACCTTCTATCTCTTTCCCTATCTCCCGATTGACAACCCGCGAACAAGTCCGATCAACAAAACTCTTCCTCGAAATCTTGACATAACTCTGAACCAACCTATCCAATAACGAAGATTAGCAGAAGTCCCTTTTTAGACCAAAATAAGTGTACTCACGCTTGATACCGCTGAATATTCCGAATCTCCATACCCGCCAAATCCCCCAATGCATCTTGCACATCGCGCACCAGACTTATACAACGTCCCATACTGAAATCCGTCCTGACAACAGCTCGCATCATGCCCATCGTCTCACAATCAGCAGCCATAGTGTAAGCAGGCACAATCCACCCCCTCTCGCGCAGTTTCCGCGCCAGCGCCCATTCGTCGAAGAAGACGTTCTGCGTGGGACTCAATCTAAACGCGACGACCGGTAGGCCCTGCCCACCTCCTTCGCTCATGATGATGAATCCCATTTCTTGCAGCTGGCTGGTGAGGTAGTCGGCTGTTCTTGTGAGGTTTGTCATAATGTTTGTGTATCCGCTTCGGCCCAGTCGTATTAGTTGGTAGTACTGGGCTATGATGTGCGATGCTGGTTTAGAGAAGTTCATGGTGAAGTTGAGTTGCTCCGCGCCTAGATAGTCGATGTTGAAGACGAGCTCTTCGGGGAGGTACTCTGGTGATCGCCAGAGGGCCCAGCCGATGCCGGGGTAGACCTGTGAAGATTAGAATATTGAACTGTATTGAAGTTGGGTAGTTAATGTACTCACCAGTCCGTATTTATGCCCAGAGACATTGATCGAGACGACGTTGGGTAGTTTGAAATCCCATACCAGGTCCGGGTTCACGAACGGAGCCACAAATCCACCACTGGCGGCGTCTACGTGAATGGGTGTGTCCAGTCCTTTCTTGATGAGAAGTTCACTGATAGCCTGTACATCTTCGTACTGGCCCGTGTATGTTGTGCCGAGAATCGCGCAGATTCCGATGGTGTTCTCGTCGACCATGTCGACGGCTTGGACTGGGTCAATCACGTATCGTGTCTCGGTACATGGGACTAGCTTCTCGGCGATTTCAAAGTATCTGGCTGCCTTTTCCCAGCAGACTTGTACGCCGCTACTCATGACGATGTTTGGGTTTGAGGCATCTTTCCCTTGGGCTTTGCGGTTGATTTGCCAGCGCTTCTTCATTGCTAGAGTGGCGATCATGATAGCTTCAGAAGACCCAATACATGATGTACCAAAGGCGGTTGGATGTCCATCAGAGACTGGAGAGTGGAATAGGTCGGCGAGGATGTTCAGACAGCGGTGCTCGATTTCGACAGATTTGGGGTATTCTTCGTGGTCAATGATGTTCTTGTTTGATGATTCGGCGAGTAGTTTGAGGGCTTCGTCTTCCTGTTATATTGTTAGCGTCGGTCAATGATAAGACGAAAACTTTGAAATACCATGTACGTGGTCACAAAACTGGCGAGACTATAGCGAACAATTTGTCAGTTTAGTTTTGGGATACTCGAGAAGTATACTTACTTCAATATTGGCTGGCCATCCAGGGCCAAGTCATCTTTGATTAGCTGGTAAGCCACCTCTTTTGGCATCTCACCGTCCGGCAGTTGATGCGATGGCATAGGCATGGCAGCGAATCTGGAGCCATAGACATAGGTGCAGTCGTTCTGGCCAGAAAGCTGCTCGGATAATTCCTCTATAGAACCCATTATGCAATGAAATATGTAGATTCAAATTGAGATTCAAATTGAAATACCGATGAACTAGCCAGACTGTCTTGAATTTATATCCTTTCTCACAATTTGATTGTTAAAAAAAAATCTCTCATAGCTAAATCGTGTGATAGAGTTCTGAGGCATTTATTTCCACAGGAGACATCATGATCAGCGCTATGGTAAAAAAAAAGGGGGGCTTCCATGCCGTTTCACGTTGGGTAAGTTGGGCATTGCATTCTTTTCTCTAGTTTATGGTATATAGATGACAACGTGATGAACATCACAGCACCTATCTGATGTTATACTTGATATAGATATCAAGAGAATATCAAATGATCCACTTCAGACAAAGCCAAGACCTTCTAGAAAGCATTAGTGTAGTTTTATTACAATTTTGATCCCTTTACAATCTGGTAGAATTGGGAATGCCCCTTGTTATTCCTTGTTTTAAATTGGAACATTCTGGCCCTGAATTGCTGGGTCAATGCATTATCTATACGGAGTACTCCGTGCTCCGTGTAGATAATGCAATGCAATTTACTCCGTACTCTGTACTCTTTGCCACATTGATGAAGGCTTACATCGAAACAGGTTCCCCTTCGGCCCCTGACTCGGAGATGTTCAGCCCCTTCTCGGGTGCATCCGGTCCGAAAGGCCGAGATTGGTGGCGCAGCACATATCAAATGCTTTTCTCATATCTAAATTAGTATGTCAGGCAGCAAGATATTGAATTGTGGCGAGGCTATAGGGTTCTATTTACAGTACGTTAACTGTGGCTTTCATTGGATATATACTCCGTTGGACTCGCATATAGTATTCCCTATTTTCTGTCCTAGCCTTTTGTGTGAGAATGAAACTTATGATATTTATTTCACGCGGTTTGAAGTTCCCTCAAAACTAATTGCTCCTAATATATGACACGTAAGAGCATATCCCTTGCTCCAGAATTTATGCAAGTCGCGGATGAGGTCAAGATAACAGACATCGAATAGTAGACTCAGACACGAAGGGAGCATTCTTCAATGAATTTGTCATGGATTTGCGCGATTTAGACTCGTATCACCATTCTGTATTTTGTTCATAACAACATCAGTGTTCTTTGCTTGCGAGAATAGGATGTTGCACCCAATTTTGGATCTTAGTATAGTGAATATTGTCCTTTCCTTATCGGGTAAGACTGAAGTCTCATGTCTAGTATTTCCCTCTCTGATTAATAGTTTTAGGAATATATGTTTTGATTTTCGGGTTTATCGCTGCGAATATCAAGCAGAGATGGTATCTCGGCGAAGCTTGTATGTTGTCCTTCAATCTCATTGAACATCGGTCGCTGATAATATTCAGTACCCTCTTTCATAGTTGGGGCAGTCATAGGACCCTTTGGTGCAAAGTTCATCAATGTTAACCAGTGGGGAGACACCGACAGTGATAGTGGTGATATCGCCTATGTAGGTCAGACCTTTCGCAAAGGAAAACATGAAACTAATTTATCAGGGGCTAACTCGATTGGTCATTGGTATTGCGATGGTTAAAGTCGGTTATGAACTACCGAAACGATATCTTCGGCTTCATCTGGTCGAGCTCACCATTTGCCTACTGCCGTTGATGACGATCCAGTGGCTGACCACGTCGGCATGTATCAAATTAATGATCCCTAATCTATCCTTTGTGCGTTTATCTTCTGGGATTCGACACACCCGCACTAACCTTCATGTAGTTGACTTCTCTCATTATCGGATCGTGTGTCATATGTATCGATCCGGTTCTTTCACAAGCTATCGCCAAGGGCCCTTTCGCAGATCAATATGTCCGACGACATCTTCGAGAATTTATTTCAGCGGAGGCAGGTGGGAATGACGGATTCGGATTTCCATTTTTGCTCCTCTCTATTGCCATTCTTCGTTATGCCGATACCCCAGGCACGGAGACAGTAAAAGCTGGCCTTGGGAAACAGAGTCGAGATTGGATTGGCGAGCCGGATACCGGTCGATTGGGTGGAGATGTCAGCCGAGCTTTAGCGCATTGGGCTGTTGAGGGAGTGCTGTATATGTTGGTCATGGGGGCTGGGTATGGTGTGCTGGTCGGGTTCCTAAGCCGGAAAGCCTTAAATTTGGCCTCAAAAAGGTATGTATATTCTATTGGTGTAGCAAACTGGCTAATGATAAATGCAGGCGTTGGATTGACAAGGAGAGCTTCTTCTCTTATCCTGTGGCGATGGGTGTAAGTCATTCTTGAGAAACAGGAGAGCATATGCTAAGATGGCTTGCAGTTGTTTATAGTTGGTACCTGCGGTTGCTTTGGTTCCGACGAAACTCTCGCCTGTTTTGTTGCCGGCTGTGCATTGAATTGGGATGGGTCTTACCACTTCGAAGTCGAAGAGAGACATGACTCCTTCAATTCTACAATCGAAAACATCTTGAACATTGGAACCTTCATGTTTCTCGGTGTTATTATGCCATGGAACCAACTTCACATGCCCAGTGAAAACGGAATCACCATGGCTCGACTAGTCGGGCTCGGATTTTTGATTCTGATATTCCGTCGGATTCCGGCGATCATGATGGGATATCGACTGATGCCTAAGGTCTGCGAAAATTGGAAAGAGGCCTTGTTCATGGGGTACTTTGCCCCAATTGGTATGCTATTCAGATGAGGTGTTAAAGTGCAATGCTTACCGGGTTTAGGAGTTGGCGCTATTTCGTATGTAGAGTATGCGCGACGATTGTTACCGGATCCTGGAGAGAGCGATACCGAGATCAACAACTTGACTGCAGCTATGATTCCGGGTACGATATTCTTTTATTCAATGATGATAATGTATACTGATCATTGATTTTAGTGGTATATTGGCTTGTCTTCTTTTCCATCGTCATCCACGGTCTGTCTATACCAGTCCTGAGCTCTTTCTATCAGTGGTTCCAAGTCCCTATTATCCGAGACCACCCGGTAGAAATTGTTCTGTTGTCTGAAAACGAGCCTGTTCCTAATAACAGCGTGGTGGATCGCCGTGGCCACTCTGTTATATTAAACAACCGGTTTTCCCGTGCCTCGAACCAGCGCCCCCATTCTGATCATGGTGATCCGCACTGTGAGGGAACAGACACGATGGTGTTACGTCGCAGTGAAGAAACTAGCTATAGGAGCTCGCTGGAAAGGGTATTGACGAAAGGTTCTTCCCGCGAACTGGAGCAGACTTTATCTGCCAGAAATGTAGTCTAAACGGCTGATAACGGGAGTTGTATATTAAGTGAGAACTTTGATATCCTTATTTCAATGTTAGATATAATAAAGAAGGCCGGCAACTACATACTGCAATGGACGACATGTTTGATGGTAATTGTAGCCTTGTACATCAGGTAGTACCAATATAAATAGCTCCAGGTAGATATTTCTTGAAAAGCAACCTTCTCCTCTTACCTCTTTCCTTTAATTTTATCCTTGATCGCCTACAAGTGCCACGGAAAGCACTATTTCCATCGAGAAAGCAGGATAGACCTTTATCTAAAGGCTATTGATGCCGGTATATTATATACACCATGAAATTACCGTCCACCCGAATCCCTAAGCGCGTTGCGCTCAATCTCAACCACCCCATGAGCTGTTCAGCCGTGAGCTTTGTCTAGCTTCTGTCATTTTGAAATCCCAGTCACTAGAATGTTTTGAGAGGTGCTAAAAACTGCCTATACTGTGACTATGATGTTAGTCTAGTGTCATTTCTACTCTGGCCTATACTATTCGAAATCTCACTAGTTTCTTTGCTAGAAAATCCGGCGGTACTACAATCTTGAAATATATCAAGAGATGTGGTGAGTGCCTTGGGTTCTCGCCCTACTACTCATTATGATAAATTACTATTATTTACGGGTTCTGACCTTTAACGAGAAGAAAGATGCCATGAGCCATATCGACGTTATCCATAATCGATTTCAGGCGGGCTAAGCATATCGGCGATGACTTACCCTAAAACTCCGGGGTCATGCATCTGTCAAAGAAAAGTTTTTACCGGATGATCTTTGTTTTCGAATACCTGTAGACCCTGACAGAAATCGCGGCCTTGTACTTTTGCCAAAAGAAGATTTACGACGCTTATAGTGTGAATACAGTGAATTCCAAGGCAATAGGGGTTGCTCCTTCTACGGCTACAATTCACTTAAGTGCGTATAGCCTTTGAGAATATTTGGAGGTCACTCATGATTGGGCTTTGGAATGGTTCTGCTCCGGTGAAGTAGCAAGGCAATACTGCTTGCCAACGCCAGTGAGTGATTGTTGGAACCGCTGATGTCTGAGCAGTGATCCCCTATGGGACAGATTTAGTAGATAGATAGCGTGCTTCCTCAGCCCTCTCCGTCCATCTCTCGATCATTGAATCTACACTTGTTTATTCATAGACATGGAACCGCAATCAGAACCATGCCTTCACCAGAGCTTTTCCGAGGATATCCAACCGAGTATCAAAAAGAATAGGGAAAAATAAATTAAACTTCAATATTGTCTCAGAGTGGATCGTACAAACCTGAATGAACGAGATCGACAGACGATGATCTCATTCCTCGGCTTCTCAAAACCCACATGCACACTCGACATAAAAGATCGGGGAAATAACTCACAAATTCTACAGATCTTTGATATCCCAAGAATGTCGTGAGTGCTCAGTATACCCAAGAAACAAACCAAGACTAACCCCCCACAGTGCCCTTTTAACAACTCTCGGCCTCCGCGCCGCCCCTGGCCAGGTACCCGCAAACCATGCGTCGGGATTCCTAGTGGCGAACTGGGTCTTCGCATTCTGTTTGATGAGTACTCGGGGAACGAAGATGCGTCTGGGTCTTGATCACAATGTCAACCCACGTGAAGACTTGACTACCTACGGCGAGGCGGCCGTGCGGTCGGGAAAGCTTAGCCGTCACGCCCTTGACAAGCTCAAGCGACAGGAGTCGGCGCATGCCAATGCACAGGAGGGATATTCTTTGTTTGTTGCGGCGAGTAAGTGGATGAAAGAGTATCTGAAATTTCTGCACTGTACTGACCGCATGCTTTAGTTCTCGTCTCTTTGTACGCCGGTCTCCCCAATGAGACTATCAATAACATCGGTGCTTGGTATTCGGTTTCTCGTATCGCGTACAGTCTGCTGTACTCGTACGTTGAATCTCACTCTTTAAGCTATCTGCGCTCAGTGGCTTGGTGGTCCGGCAACATCAGCTGTATTTATGCCTTGGTGCAAGCCAGCAAGAAGTTGTAAAATAGATCCTGGCACTCTTTACCCCTATAATCCCTTGGATTATATAGATGAGCTTGATCATAAAATAGAATTGCATCAAGCGATTAGAGATGTTCCTCTTGTTGGTGCTTGGGTGCCTTAGGCATCCTTGGATAGATAAGTCGGAGCTCTCCTTTCGCTCTCCCTCACTTTCTGGATCTACCCTCTGTAGCTCCAACACCTCTTAGATTCAATATGACAAACCTTGATTCTTTTGGTCAGTGACAGGGACAGTCCGGGTAAGCATTCAAGTCCTAGTGTGACTAGGAGACGCCATCCTTTCAAAACTCCAAGTCTACCCAGATTGGCCAATACTTACACTAGGAGTCTACAATTCTCACGGGACAACTCACCATCATTCTCATAGAATATCCAACGCAAAATAAAACAGAAGAAATGAGGTCTCGGGCGTCTGGAAAAACCACGCCATCGTCATAAGAATGTTGTATGAGATATTCTGATTGGTGGAAGAACCTCAACCCTTCAAGGCACAGGTTAACCTGATGGGGGAATGAATCCCCGTGATAACGATGAATTACACGATTTCAAATACGAACATTTGAATAATCTTACGCCTCTCGCTCAAGCTTCTTCCGACGAAAGTCCCCCGCAAATTCCTTGGCGAAATGCGGAGAAATGACTCCATTCACTTGTCTATACACCGGCTAACTCGCTCTGCCGCATTCAGACCTTGCCAATCACCCCAGTCTACAATGGAATTGTTTCTAACAGGCGGAGAAATCTCTTTCCTCCCGTGCCGCTCCCTAGATATTGGTAATCTGGGGAAAGGGAGCTCCATTTTCTAGGACATTCCGGGGTATTCATATAAATTAACAGGAATGCCTGCTCTCTCCCCATCATCAAGTATCAATTGAGTTCAAGTCGCTAGAATGAAGTTCCTCGCTATCGGTGCGCTCCTGCTCAGCACAGTCAGTGCTCTTGCCACAGAGCATATTATCCAAGGAGCTCAGATTATCCCGGCCAGCGATAAGTCGGCGTTGAAGAAGATCGGTGCTCATGGACATCACAAGCACCACGACCGTCGGACAGTGACTATCCGGTCATCCAAGAGCGACACCGATGATGTCTCGGAAGATTTCCTTTGGGGTATCAAGGCTGCCAATCATGGTGGCAGACTTCTCTTGAAAAAAGGAAAGAAGTATGTCATTGGTAAGAAGCTTGACCTCAGCTTCTTAGATAATATTGAAGTGCAGCTTGAGGGTGAAATCAAGGTATATAGCCCCCGAGATTGTGAAATTGAACTGCTCTAACATGAAACAGTTCACCGATGATATCGACTACTGGCAAGCAAATCACTTCTACTACTCTTTCCAGAAATCTATCACTTTCTGGGTCTGGGGTGGTCAGGATATCAAGATCTTCGGAAAGGGTACTCTCAATGGCAATGGCCAGGAGTGGTACAATGCCTTTGCTGGCCTGGAAGTTCTGGTGAGCATGATTCCAAAAAAGTTGGGAATGAGTGCTAATGGAGAATTCAGGACCCATCCAACACTTTCTACCGTCCCATTCTATTTGTGACTGATAACGCCACCCGTGTGTCTGTTGAGGGTATCACCCAACTCAACTCCCCCTGCTGGACCAACTTCTTCGTCCGTACTAAGGATGTCTCTTTCGATGATGTCTTTATCAATGCTTATTCCACCAACGCATCTGTAAGTCGTGCATCTGGTACCGTTACCAATCAAATCTAACCACTCCTTCACAGGCTTTGCCCAAGAACACCGACGGATTCGACTCCTTCAACGTAGACGGTCTCAGTGTGACCAATACCCGCGTCGATATCGGCGATGACTGCTTCTCGCCCAAGCCCAACACCACCAACATTTTCGTGCAGAACCTGTGGTGTAACAACACCCATGGTGTCAGCATGGGAAGTATTGGACAGTACTCGGGAGTTGAGGACATCATTGAGAATGCTTGGATTGAGAATGTGACTCTGTTGAACGGCCAGGTAAGATACCTTCCCCCCACATACCCATCTTTGAGCGATCGATCCTAATTGGAATCCAAGAACGGCGTCCGTCTTAAGGCCTGGGCTGGAGAGAACGTCGGCTTCGGTCGCATCAACAACATTACCTACAAGAATGTTCGCATTGAAAACACCGACGCCCCTATTGTGTTGGATCAGTGCTACTTCGACGTTGACGAGGCCACGTGTGCCAAGTACCCGTCATCAGTCAACTTCACCAACGTTACCTTTGAGAACATCTATGGCACTTCGTCGGGCAAGAATGGGAAGGTGATTGGCGACTTGACTTGCTCGCCCAATGCTGTGTGCTCGGGTATTCAGCTCTCTGAGATCGATATTACCAGCCCGGCTGGCGGTCCTCCCGTCATTACCTGCGATGGAATTTCTGGAGATATTGGCGTGGAGTGCCAGTCGAGCTCGGCTTAAATAACAGTGTGAGAGAATATTTTTGGAGATAGTGATAAGGCAAAAAGTACGAATGGAAGAAAAATTCTCAATTAAATTGATTTAGGAAGTGTAGTCCGAGACATGTATGTCCGACACGGAGTAGTGATCTCCGAACTTCATCCATCCACTCTCCACTCTCCACACTTGATTACCAGGTCCTTCACATTATTGAATTGATCTCAACTAGTCGCTTATTCTGCTTATTCTGCACACCGATATTCATATGGAGCTTTGACCCAACACTTTCCCCGACATAGCCAGGCACTAAGCTGCGAATGAGAGTCAAGACTCCCAACAGCTCCATCGGAGTCTCCCAGCCAATGAAAATGGAAATAAGCATCGTCAACTCTCTTCCCCGAGAGAAAATAGATGCTGATATCCGACCGGCCCGACGTTCCCTAAAAACAGCAACAGAGAAGGTTCAAAACCAAGCCGTCATCCTCGATGACATCTCATCATATGAACAGTCCCCCTCATACCGGCTTATTCTCTCTCCCCACACTCCCACAATCTGAGTGGCATTATCGGCTGAGACTATACCCACCCCAGTCTTTGGTCAGATGTATGATGACTTGTTAGGAATGAACCCCGGATTCAGTATCCCAATGTCCTGCTTCCAATGCCTGCAACACTTGCAAATCCCTCCAATCTGGGGAAGATGAATCCACACTCTCCCCCTTCCCCCCACCCCCAGATCCCCGGAAAGGCGGAGCACGGGGAAAGGACGGGATCCCAGATTTTACGGGGTCCCTGCTATAAGAACGACGCATAGTTTTTCGACTTTTTCTTCTTTCTTCTTCTCTTCGTCTGTGCTATTATCTTCCCACAGATCCTAGCCTTTATATTCAACATGGAGAAGATGGATAGCCAACATCAGCACATTGAAGGCGCAAATGCGAGTCAAGTGATGGAGTCTGGAAAGCAATGCGATTTCTACGTCGAAGATCGAGTCGCTCATCTATCCGAGGAACATCGCCAGTATATTCTTGCAAAGCATGGAACGCTGGATCTGGAGCCTATCCCTGATATGACCGACGCTGATCCATACAATTGGCCGAGATGGAGGGTGAGAGACCATTCAAGCACTATCATCAATTCGCACTTGGGCCAGGTTTCTAATCTGATGATTTGATAGAAAAACTTGAATTTAACTCTAGTTGCCTTCCACGCCATGATGGGTACATTCACTGCCTCGTCAATCCAATCTGCATTTGAAAATATCTCCGAAGATCTCGACGTCAGTATGCAGCGAACCAGCTACCTCGTCTCTCTCTTCATTGCCGTGCTAGGCGGTGCGCCCCTATTCTGGCGTCCGCTGTGTAATCGCTATGGTCGCCGGCCCATCTTTCTGATCTCGTTGATCTGCAGCTTGATTGGGAATATTGGCTGTGCAAAGAGTCCTTCCTATGCAACCATGGCTCTCTCCCGTGCCATCACTGCCTTTTTTATCAGTCCTGCGGCTGCAATCGGTAGCGCGGTTGTCGCGGAGACTTTCTTCCGGAAAGATCGTGCTCGCTGCATGGGTGCGTGGACGTTGATGGTTACTCTGGGTGTCCCTGCTGCTCCGTTTATCTTTGGATTCGTTGCTTTGCGTGTGGGTTATCGCTGGATTTATTATATCCTTGCAATTGTGAGCATTCCTCAACCCCAGTCTCCGGGAGATACACCCGTCTAACCATTCGCTTCGAATAGGTCAACGCAATCCAATTCGTCACCTACTTCTTGTTCGGATCGGAATCCCTCTATATCCGCGACAATGTCCCCTCCAACAAGCTCACTGTCACTAAGCAGAGTCCTTTCAGATTTAGCCGCATCAATCCTGCACCGCTGAAACTCTGGGACTTCTTCCAGCCCCTGAGCTACGTAATGAAACCATGCGTGATCATCCCAGCCGCCGCCTACGCAATGATCTTCCTCTGGGGGAGTATCGCGCTCACAATCGAGATCTCGCAGGTCTACCCTTCCAAATTTGGCCTGAACACCCAGCAGGTCGGTCTGCAATTTCTCGCTATAATCATCGGGTCTGTCATCGGTGAACAGATTGGCGGGTTTATCTCCGACCGCTGGATGCTTATGCGTCAGAGGCGGACTGGAGAACCATCCCCGCCGGAATACCGTCTTTGGTTGAGTTATATTGGCCATGCTTTGACGATCTGTGGTATTGTGGTTTTCGCTATCGAGATCCGGGATTCTGGCGGTGCATGGACTATCGCTCCTGTTATTGGCGCCGCTATTGCCGCTGGTGGTAATCAAATCGTTACTACGATTGACATTACTTATGCGGTGGATTGTTACCGCGAGGATGCTGCTAGTGTGGGTGTTTTTATCACCTTTGTTCGGCAGATCTGGGGATTTATTGGCCCTTTCTGGTTCCCTGAGATGTTTGAGGTTGTTGGCTGGGCTGGTGGTGCAGGTATTGCCGTTGCTCTCATGGTTGGTGTCAGTGTTATTCCGACTATCTTGGTGCAGTGGCGAGGTGCTTCCTGGCGTTGATTGCCGAGGACATATAATTGCTCTTTTTATCAACTAAATAAGAGAATGTAGA